ATGTGTTTGGTGGAAGGGGAGAGGGGTCGGACACCCTCGGATCCCTCTCCAAAACTACCAAACTTGAGGTCTTCACTTATTTAGTGGAACTCGTTTCCGTCACCAAAAGTGCTAGGTTTCAAATTTCTTAGCAAGTTAAAGAAATTAAGCAAAACAGTCAGGAAGTAGGTAAACCCTCTAATACTGCTAATGGGACAATTTAGACCCTTAAGAGCTCCTATTAAAATGATGACTTAAAATGCGTGCAGCGTTCATTACAAAATCCCGGAGCTTATGGACTTTTTAATGAATTACGATACCGACGTAGCCATGATAACTGAAACTTATGCTATGGCGAGTCTAAGACTGACTATCCCAAATTATAAATGTTATAGATATGACCGTTTGAGTCACAGAGGTGTGGGGGGTTGTCATTTATGTCAGGAACTCCCTGCAGTCCTGTACTATTACTGATGAGCGTAACAACGGACATGAGCTGGTCACTGTGTCAGTATTCCTACCCTACTATGGTATTGTCTATTTTAATTCTATGTACAATCCACCACGAAATATGCTAGATATCAATTACCCTGCCAAGATCCTTGATACAAACAAGCAAGTTATTCTTGCGGGGGATCTAAATGCAAAGAATTCAGAGTGGTGTTGTAGAAGAACGAATAGAAATTGAGAGAAACTACTAGAATTCATCAACGACTACCCAGTATATTTTTAAGCACTGAGCGAATACACCACATAACCCATGGAGAGGTGATACTTAGACTTATTTATGTTTACCACTTCATTCCCCTTCAATCTTGAGGTTCTTCAAGAGCTCAATTCCAACCAGTGTCCGGTTATTGCAACCCTAAGCACCAGTAAGGATATTGAAGAGGATCTCATTAATACCACGGATTGGAAATTATTCCATAATCTGCTTAATGACTGCCAAACTACTATGCACAGGCTGCAAACACCACATGACATCGACTCTGCTATTAATAAACTGACCACGGATATTCAGACTGCATATAAAAATGCCACCAGGAAAATACCTAGGCAGCAGATCGCTGACAGGTTGGTAAGGCAGATAAGGGATCTTATCAAGGACAGAAATAGGTTAAGAAAAAGGTTTCACATCATGTGGGACCCTAATACTAAAAATCAGATTAATAGAATAAATAAGGAGATTAGAAAGCAAATTACTCAACACCATACAGAGCTTTGGGACGAGAAAGTCACAAGCTTTAACGAGCCCAGTAACACGTTCTGGTTGTTTGTGAAAAGATTAAAGAGCAAGCCCACAGTTAATAAGCCAATTTGTGTGGAGCACCGAGTTGCTCTTAATAATAAGGACAAATATGATATTCTTGCTGAACATTTTGAGAACCAATTTTTCCCTAACAACATTCCTAGCAACCAAGCGTTCTGGACCAGGGTCAGCTCCTATGTTACTGGTTGGACAAATTCACCTCCTGTGCAAAATCATCTTAAGCTCACTTCGCCCCGAGAAATTTTGGACATTATCAGGAAACTCAGAAAGAGGAAAGCGCCTGCTTATGATAACATAAATAACGTTGCACTCAAGTAGCTTCCCTTAAATATCATAACAAGGTACACAGGCAATCTGAACACATGCCTCTATAAGAGTTACTATCTTAAAATTTGGAAGACTGCCAAGATGATTGAAATCCGGAAGCTGGGTAAAGATCAGACAAAACCTGAAGGGTACAGGCCTTTAACCTTCTCCCTAGCATGGGAAAGATTTTGGAATGTATTATTCTTACCAGGATTCAGCCTCATCTCGTTAAACTTCCACTAGATCAATTTGGAGTTAGAAAAGCCCCTTTCGACAACTAAACAGCTGGTGCGGCTAAATGAGTTCGTTGGTAGTGCACTGAACAACAAGAGATATGCTGCCTTGCTCATGCTAGACAAGGCACAGGCAGTTGACCATGTCTGGCATGAGAGGCTTATTTATAAGCTTATAAGATCTAAAATTCAGCAGAGAGCTGATCCAGATTATTAACTGCTTCCTCATGAATAGGACCTTTTTCGTGCACATGGGCAAAGACTCCTCTGATAACAAGAAAGTGATGGCTGGAGTCCCACATGGGTCTATTTTAGGGACCGTTTTATATTTGTTCTATGTGGTGGATCTGCCTACAGTTAACATGGATCAAAATTGTTTTATGGGTTGTTATGCGGATGACACAACACTTGCTGTCAAGTCTGCATCCCCAAATTTCGCAGTTTCTAAACTCCAGAGTTTTATGCCACGGCTTGAGCTCTGATGCTAAATGGAAAATTGCTATATATATCGAGAAGTCTAACCTCGTTATCATTAAGAAAAAGAGAATGAACACCCCTCTTGCTAAGCAATTGAAATTATTCGGGACTGTTATGCACATTGTAAACAAGGTCACGTACCCAGGAATCAAGTATAGCTCCAACTTTCAATGAAAAGATCACATAAATTACGACAGAAGCAAGATATTGTGGGTAATACAATTCCTCACTACTCTTCTTTCCCCGGATTCTAAGCTGGACTTACGACGCAAGAGACATATTTACATTTTGATCATTCGACCCATTTTTGCCTATGCGTCACCTCCCTGGGCTTCTGTCCATAAAAGAGATTTAAATAAATTACATATAACACAGAACAAGTTACTCAGAATGATGACCTGGGCTCACTACTTTGTTTCAAATCAGACGCTACATAAGGATTTAAAACTCGAGACAGTGGATGAGTATTTGCATAAAATGAATGCGAATTTCTTCAAAAAGGTGAAGGGCTGTAGTCTCACATAGGTGACCTAGACATGTCTAAGTATGCTGTCCTTGAGGAAGATTCTAATTATAGACTACTTGCGGCCCACCTCACTTGGGACTCGAATTTTCCCACTTAGTTATTCTCACTGTCTTGTGTATGTTACGGTGAAACACCGAAATCTGGAGAATGTCGACTTTCAGGTGAATGTTAACATTCACATAGTTTCTTGGTGTATGTCCGAAATATTTTCCAAATATCTATTTCTGACTTACACCAGTCAATGTCGACATTCACCAGTACTAATGGTGAATGTTGAACACATAAAAATATTATATTTTCCTCTCCGTAATTCAGTCGCGAAAACGCACTTGAGACTTGAAATAAGAACTTAAGAACATGATAACCCAAAACACACAATAATTCAAATGAGAAAGGAAAATAATAGAAGTTAAAAACTTATTAATTATACGTACGTTCTAAATGAGAAAATAAAATAACAGTAATAAAATTACTAAAATGTGATTCAAATCTTTTTATGCAAACACTTAAAATTATGGCACTTTATGACCTCTCTTTGACTTTCACCAGAAGCATATCTATGATTGTGCATACACGGTGAGGGGAATACAAGAATGGTGAAATATTTGGTCTTTCACGGACGTATTTGATGAATATTGATATTCTCCGGTGAAAGACGACATTCTCCAATTTCGGTCTTTCACGGTAACATATATATGTTATAATTTTCATTATGTATTTCATATTGTAAACTGGTATTTCAATTTATCGTATTTATTGCAATCTGTGTTTTAGTTTATATTGCATACTGTGTCACATATTGTATATAGCCTCATATTTAGATATGTTATTATTCTCACTGTAATCTTAAATTATATTTTGTATTATCTGTCTCTATTTTTCTATGCTTCAACAACGCAACCATACACCACAGTTTACTTCACTGCTCCTGAATCTGGCTTATCTCACATTCTGGCTTTTCTTCGGCTCTGTGATGCATGGTCACCCCTCTTTTACCACCTTAATGATTTTATTAACTCGTCATGAATGATTATCGTCATGTGCCCACTGGGCTTTGCTTTACGGTTTGCATTAATTAAAAATATGAAACCGTAATTGCGCCTTGTGTGATATCCGGCAATAGTGGCGCCGGATAAGGATACGTCCCCTCTTAAAAGCATTAATCCAACTCAGAGCATTTCTTTTCACCCTCAGTGTTGCATAAAACAGCCTCATGACCTATCCATTTGCACTCTTTCAAGCTATAGAACCTTCCCCTCAAGTAATGTCCTGAGATTTGTTTCTCGAAATTTTGACTTTCCAAAGGAGATAAAATTCAAGAACTTACTATTTCAGACCCCTATTTCGGATTATTTCAGTATGATAACAGGAAAGAAATGCTATACTATAGCAGCTGAATGCCTATATATATACCAGTATCTATGTACACAGGTTAACACTGTTTCTATGAAAGTTTGCCTTCTTCTCCTTAGAAGTTCTTTAATCAAAACTTTGCTTTATTATTCTAAGAAGTTTTTCATAACCAAACAAAAATTATATCAGATATTGTCAACTAATCATAGTGCAAATCCATGTTTCACAAACCGAAGAAATATGAAACTGAAATGCAATTTTTGAGGTGAAAGTCACACTGCTCATCATAAAAGCACCTTTCTGGGAAGAGTGTTATTGTAAAGTACAATACAATTTCTGTAATCCGGACTTGTCGGAACTTTGGCGATTCTGGATCAGGGGTTTTTCTGGATTACAGATCATAAATTTAAATCTGGTAAGATGGCATGCAGAAATTATACTATTAAAAATATGAAAAGCTTAATATTTATTTGTTTACTTCATTAAACATTTCTTTCAACGTGCACATGTGTAAAGCATATGCACAATCTCTACACGCATGCGTAAAGTTTGCGACTTTGAGGTCCGGATTACGGACTTTGTACTGTATTAGATAAAATGATGATTTTTGTGATAAGACCAAAGAATATTAAAGAGGGAGAAGGGAAGGAGGACTTTCTAAACATTTCAGTTTCCCCCAAAAAATAATGATAATGAAGCCTAGAAAAAAGGTTTTTTACAAGATGTTTTAAAGGCTTTTAAAAATGGAATTTAGGGGGAAAAAACTTTTAAAGGATTTTAAGCATTGTAAAAAGTTTGAAGCATCAATCAATAATTTTTTAAAAATACTGTTATAGAGCAAATGAATGATACTTACCATTCTTTGATTTGTGTCTTGTGCAAGTAAACTGCCAAATGTGATTATTTGGGCTATACAGGCAAAGTATAAGAAGACTATAGAAGAAATACACTGCAATGACAAACAATCTTTGAAGTCACTTATATACCAAGGTGCCTTTCTACGAATATCTGCAATCAACCCTCCAAACGGCCTAAAGCAATTTGAATGAAAATAGGTTAATTTACATTGTAAAACATATTATATGAGTTTTAGTTTTTAAAAAAAATTATAAAAGTCAATTATTTTACTACACTAAACCTATACTGCACTCTTGATGCACGATTTACAATCGCTCTCTCTCTCACACAATTCAATTGTTAGCTTTTCTCCCCTAAAAACAATATAGTTTAACAGCAGAATCTGAAGCCCAAAAGAAGAATTATCGTCTATAGTTAACAATGAGTACTCAGATCTTTTGAATCTGTACACAAAGAGTTGTTTTTACACGAGAGTACATAAGAAATTAATTAAATTTGCCTAATTCGTACGTATTTGTAAAATTAACTACACATCATTTTTAAAATGTTGATGATATCTGAATCATCAAAGAAAAGAGAAAAAGTGTTTTAAATAACAAGGTAATTCAAGCAAAGTACACCAAATCTTTGTCACTAGATAAAAGTAGTTATAGTAAAATTAACCTTTAAACGATGGTAAAAGTGTGGAAAGGTTTCACTTAAAAGAATGGGTAATCAGAATGTATTTTCTACCTTCTTTTAGCTGTTATTGTAAAGAGAAACTACTACTCTTTTGAAACCATTCCTTTAGGGGTTGTATTTGTTAATTTTCAGACAACAGACCAGGGAATACAAAATAATTTTTTCTCTTTTCTGCTGTCTCTTTTAAACACACGAAGTTGAGATTTCATACTTGAAGTAATTGTTGCATGGTGGAATATTAACTTTCCCAAACACTGCGTTATAACAAAAATACACCTTAGTAGCAAGTATCTCCTAGGTATACACCTAAAATGCTCTAATCAATTTTTGTTTGTTTTCAAATTGAATGTAGTTTGGAATTATATGTATTGAATTTTAATTTATACTTGAAAATAATGTTTGACCCTCTGTTTTTTTGAATAAATTGACAATTTGCATTCATTTTTTTTTTTACAAAAATTGTATAACAGTTTATATTTATGTTATGTTTAAAGAAATCCCCTTGTATTTTAGTGGTAGACTTAGCTCCTTCTCTATTTTTTAAATTTATTTATTATATAAAAATTGTATCGTAAGTATTTCATCTTTCAACTACATCACTGCTCATTGTTCCTTCTTGCGTTTTTGTGATAAAATATCTCCCCCCCCCCACTCCAGTGTGTGTGTGTGTTTTTTTTTAATATTCTCCTTTAGTTGAAAAAAAAGATTTTATTGGTCATACTTTCTTGCATTGTCTTTTGCATGATTCAGACAGTAATATTAAACACAAAAATTACAATAAAAATTGGAAATATAAAGTAAAAAATACATTTTTGATGACATGGACAAAATGGTGAAATGATGTTGGATTTACTAAACTCTATTTATTTATTTATACAGACCCATCAGAGGTCGAGAGGTAGAATCGATGAACACCGATAGCTAGGTTCGGCTCACATTTCAGTGAACTAGCGGGCTGCACGTGGTCTCATGTTTAACATGAACACCAACCAATTTCCCATGAAAAGTCCTCCAGGGAGCCCTTTCTTCTTTGGGTAGATAGCTCTCTGTGCCTTGGTCGTAATACAAATATTCCGATTTTTATTTATATATATATGCATATAAAGACAGGGATTGTCAAAGACATATAAATATCTTATCAAAATATAGATGCTGTTATGCAAGTCCTTTCTACAGGAATTTAGCTCATATTTTTGTTATGCACAAGGAATGTAAGGAACACTGAGCTTACAAATGTTATAGAAATTCTATTTCTCTCACCAGTGATGACTATTTCATTCTTAATTAAAAAAAAAAAAAAAAAAAAAAAAAGGAACAAGAGACTTATGCTGAGATATAATTTAGTTTCTAAGAAAAATTGCACCAATCCCGAAACCAGGAAAGGATCCCTCTCTGGCTACATCATACAGGCCGATACGCCTTTTATCGACCCTAAGTAAAATAGCTGAAGCTGTCATACTGAAGAGAATCCAAGATTTCTTAAAGGACAGCAACATCCTCATCTCTCAGCAATAAGGTTTCAGGAGTAAACATTCCAACACATACCAACTCTATTGTGTCATGGAAATGATAGCAGATGGACTCAAGAAAAAACTCATCACAGGAACTCTCTTTCTCGATATTTCGAAAGCCTTTGACTGTGTATGGTTACAAAGCCTCACCTGCAAATTAATCACTCTGGGTTTCCCAGATTACATCACAAACCTCGTAAATTCCTATCTTTACGATAGACATTTTGTCATTCGTTATAACAATACTCACTCCACACAAAAAGTAACTTCTGCTGGCTTGCCACAAGGAAGCCTACTTTTGCCCACTTTATTTTCAATTTATACGAATGACATCCCACATAACCCCCTTACTCCACTAGCACTGTATGCAGATGATACTGCGATCCTCTACCAAAACGCATCCATGGCTGCAATTGTACAAACACTACAAGAACCATCCCTGCATTAGAGTCCTGGATGATCAAATGGAAGATTAAAACAAATGTTGACAAATCTGAAGCTGTGTACTTCACTCATAAGAGAAATATTAATTTGAATAGCACACTCAAGATGTACGACATCAGCATCCCCTGGGCCAAGCAAGTAAAATACCTTGGTGTCATTTTAGACCAAAAACTCACTTCGACACCACACATTACATATATTTTAAGCAAGTTTTGAGGTACTAAAGCTTTACTCAACCCCTTAATTGCCCGAAATTCCGTTCTATCTATTCAAAACAAACTTCATGTATACAGACCCATGCTGCGACCAATTATTACTTACGCCTGTCCCGTTTGGGGTTTTGTGTGTAAAACCAGTTTGAGAATCCAACAAAGTCCCAATATCACCCTAAGAAGAATTTCCAATAGTCCCTGGTTTTTCAGTTGTGGGGCCATTCATAATGAATTAAATACTGAAAGAATCAGCATTTGCATTGCAAAAATTTTTTTTAATAACATTGATAAAGTCAATAACAGTTCCATACTTACATTGAACTATAACTAATTGATGAAGAAAACAGAAAAGACCAGGAGCAGTATTCCAGCATTTAATTTAATTTCACCATGCTGGAATTTTATTCGGAATTCAATTTGCCTTGATTTTCGTTAATTTTCTTGTCAAATTTTGTACTTTCTATACTTTATTGATGTTTTTTGAGGCATGCATAAGTGTCGCCATCTACATTTAATGCCAAGTACTATCTACTTTATTTTCTCACCCAAGTATTCTAAATGTTTAATTTTTATCTTTAAATTCCCCACAATAGATGTTTAAGCCAACCAAATTATTTCAGCCCTTGATCCTTTTATTACTTCACGTATTATGTTTAATTTTTTATCATCTGAATCTGTTCTGTAATTAAGAAAGTTCGTTAAGTAAGGTTTATACTTAAGCCCCGCCCCCTCGTTAAGTAAGGTTTGCCAATGCCTGATCAGCAAGACTATGCAATCTCTTTCCAGGTAGACCATTGGACCACATGACCCAGTAGCTCTACCCAGCTCATCGAAGACCTTTTCACCCCATCCTTCCTCCATTTTTGCACCTGAAGCCATGACAGTAGCATGCGACATCTGAGATTTTTTTCTATATATTATTATTGTGTATGCATTATTTTCTATATTTTATTCTATATATTATTTTTACTATATACTCTTATATTGTAATTGAAGAATTTCAAATTACAATTAAACTGTGATTGATTTAATTGTTACAAATGCATTGTAATTGTAGCTGCAGTTACAGTTAATTGCTTAACACTGTAACTCAGTTCCTAATAACTTATTGTAAATGATTAATGCACAACTTTGATGTATATTCTTACCTTTTACTACATGACAAATCCTCATCTTGACAGTAACTTCCTGAATCAGATGGTTCATATTTTTTTTCTTCTTTCTTTGGTTCTGGTTTCTTTCTAGATTCCTAATAAAAAGGTGCAGAAAAATTCAAATTACACCAACTGTTGTAAAAAAAAAAATTAAATATACATATTTTAATTTTTCACAGTTTCACTTTAACTTTCTGAAGCCGGCTGGTACAGCAGTTGTACCAGGAGAATGACTTTCTCAGACGCCGGCATTGGTACAACTGTCGTACCATCCATGCCTCCCCATTTTTTAGAGAATCGCCTATCTGTAGATCTCTGGGTGGGTCCATTGTCGCTGCTCAGAGTAGCCGCTGGGCTACGCATTATTTCCGTCTTCTTATCAGTTTAGGTACATTTTGGCAAAAAAACCGCAGGTTTCGTCTCGCGCCAATATACTTGAAATTAAATAGAGGCCCATCTCTTTCTCAATCTGGTGTCATAATTTTAATGCTATTTTTTTTAGTACTGACTTTTGCTATGATTAAAAAGTCAGCGATTTGCACGCTCTTTAAGCTTACATATTTAATGTTCTTTAATCATAACAAATAAGAATAGATTAATATTTTAGATTTAATTGCCCTTCTAGAAAATAGGTAAAACCACTTTTTATCGTTTACTTCCTTTTCATACTTATGATATAATAAGATTTTATTTTGACATTTTTTTTGGGAGTGCATAAAACCCTTAAGAAATGTCAACTCTTTCAAAGTGCTTCTATTATGCAGGCAATTTTGTCTGATTTATCAGGAGATAAATAAGAGACAATTGTATGCATAATAGTTTTTCTGATTTTCATTCATTCAGTGAATTGCTTTCAATGATTTTCATTGATTGTAAATTAAATGAAAATCAATTTATCTTTACACCCTCTTTTAGGATGAGATCTGCCAAAAAAGTATTTAAATATCAGTAAAAGCTCACAGTTACTTCTAAGTTGAATCAAAACATCAGTTTACATTGTTATAAAATTTTGGCCAGTTTATATTTGCTGAAATTCTTATACTCTTCAAGAGAGATAAAGGGAATTCAGACAAGTTGATAAAAAAATATCTTTAAAAAAGTTGTTATTTTGTCTGTAATAAGGTGTATGTCAACTTACTACTAAATGTATGAAAATTAGGATTGATTACGGAAAAGCACGCGAACGCTATCTGCTTAAGGGGAATGGATGCTTCGTGTAAACCTTTTTAAGAGAAAATTGCTCGCATTTACGTTCCTGGTGGAAAACTCCACATGTAATCAATCCGTTCTTTGGGTTTGATTGGATTAATTTGTTCGCTTACTGAATTACATCAAAGCACACAACATTTACCTGTATAAGGGGAGTTATGCCTTCGAGGAGGACTTTCTAAGAGAAGCTGGCTTGCATTTATGTTACACAAAAAACATGAATCCAACTATTTATCCGGGATTTCAAACCAAGCGAGCTACAAGTGTTCAGCCACCTTTACCGCTTTACTGAAGAGCAGGTAAAAAAATATTGATAAAGGAAAAGTATTGAATACCGGTTAATTTACTAACCTATATTTCTCAATCGACAGTACATAATTACGCATATTGAGGGAGATTATTTGTGAATAAATAAACTGTATTGCACTTTTATCCACTATGTCATATTACAATGGAATTATTGCATTTCAAAGTTATTTCTCATGAATTAATTTTGCTCTTCATGATTTTTGATTTTCAAAGAGAAAATTCCACACTTTAAATAAAAAAATACACGGAAAGATACTTTATGCAAATTTGGCGTAAACGGTTTTCTTAATTTTGCTTTGAAAATATTGCAGGGTAATCGTTTTCATTACTGGAAGAAATATAAAAAACAAATTTACTACATGGTATCAACACCCAATATTCCTTTTCTTTTGAAAACGTGAAAAGATTACTCTTTCTAAAATAAATTGGAAAATATATTATGTGCAAAGAGAATATTCGTTGAAAAAAAATAGACTTCAACTTTGGATATAACAATTTTAGACGAATTTCTACCTATGGAAAGAATTGACGTATAATTAATTCTTCATGAACATTTTTTAAAACTGTTCTCAAAATTCTTTTGATGATGCATGTATAGTCAACGAATTTTTTTTCTCGGCTAACATAAACAAAAGCCAATTTTACAAAGAAAAATTCTCGTTAAAGATATACCTTCTTTGCCTGATAGTCCAATGTAATATTTTGTTAATTATTATTAAGCAACCAATGTATCTCGGATTTTGATTTTTATATTATAATAACAAAATTATCGAAAAAAGCAGATTTAATCTCTGTTATGTATGTAAAGCTTTATTATTGCGTAAGTTTCATCTCAAAATCTATTTGTATTGAATTCATTCTAATCATCTGGTAATAATATGATTATTATTATTCATTAATTAGTCATTACCATTATTTATTAATGAAAATATGTTATTAAAAATCGCATTCCGGCCTGCAGACTTACAATTAGGTATTTACTATATTTTGTTAAATTTTGTTTCTCGCTTGCTAATTTCTAATACGAAAATACGCGAATATAAATGAAGAGTGAAACAAGTTAAAAAATTCAACAAATGATTTACGAGATTGATTAGAAATAGTAATGAAATATAAACATTGCATACATTTTGTTCTAAATAAAGTGTGCACTGGATAGCATCCAGTACTGCACAGTATTTATGCACTATTTATTTAGAATTTTGCTTTTAAATATGAAAGCAAAATAATCATCGAAAAAATTGCAAATCTAGGCAACCCTCTACGATGGGACGTAGGTCGACAAACATGTAA